CAGAAAAGTACATCTTGCCCAGCCTTGTGAGTGAATGTCTCAAATATCTACGTGAAATCGTTGACGAATCAAATGCGCTTTGCATTCTTGCGCATGCATCGAGATACAGCGAACAAAATAAAGATCTTGTGAAGCGTTGCTGGGAAGTAATTGATGAACACACTGAACAGGCTATCCAATCAGAGGAATTTGTAAAAATTGATAGATCAATACTCGAAGCATTAGTGGATAGAGACTCCTTGAACATTCAAGAGATTAACCTGTTCGAAGCCGTCAACAAGTGGGCAGAATATCAGTGCGAACTAAAAGGCCTGGTGGCAGATGGTTGTGTGAAAAGAAGCGTAATTGGTGAGAAAGTAGTGACAAAGATTCGATTTCCAGTGATGAAAAAATTGGAATTTGCCAGTGTTGTGCTGGACAGCAATATACTACTACCTCATGAAGCCTTTGATCTGACAAGATATTACTGTTTGGCATCCCAGTCTCCAAGGGGATTCCTTAGCACCAAAAGAATTGGTGGACTAAAGCATTGCCAAATGTTTGACTCAGTTATCAATTTTGGCTGGGCTCATTATGATGAAATGAAATGCACTGTTTATCTGCGTGTGGACAAAGCTATCAAAGTGCATGGCATTCGTCTTTTTGGTAGTGATGGTGAACAACAGAATGTTACTCTGGAAGTGCTGAATTCCTCAGGAAATGTGGTGATGGCTCATAAAAAGGGAACAATTGCTTCAGTACAATTACAGTTTAAGTCAACTCATTTCTATGGCAGTGATGTCTTATTTGAGCAACCAGCTGATTTAGTGCAGGAAACAGTGTACTGTCTCAAAGTTTCTTTTTCTGGGTCAATTTTATGGCATGGAGAGGACATGTTACAGTCTGTCCAGTGTTCAGGTGTGACATTTAGGTTTTCTGCCGATGAAAAAATGAAAAAAAGTGCACTTCAAAAAGAATTTCCTGAAATTTTGTTTACTCTGAAGTGAAGCAAAATCTCCCAGGCACAAGATTGATCCATGAGCAGCAGGACTAGTTGATGGTGAATTCTGGTCTCTGAGAGTGGACCGCCTTAAAGTTTTTTTCATGGTGTTGCTAAAGAAACTGCATGATCACACCATGATGTTTTGACAAGTGGTCTCAATTGGCAGAGCTATTCTTAGACTGGGTAATAGAATTTGGAAACTTTGCAAGCGACCTTCAACTGTTCAAGAAGTGTTGACCCAAAATGGCACTTGTTCCGCTGCAGGGTTGTCACTAAGTGCCGGCTGCCGGCGAAATTCACCGGCTGAGAAAGAGGTGATTGCTGGTTGGATTTTGGTGAGTGATCAATTGGTAAAGGACAACAAACGGCTTTTAGGTTATTCACGTACAATCATTTAATATCGAACCAACTAAATGGAAAGTTTGGAATAAATTCCCGACTACCTTGAGTATCGGTGCCACTATAACGAGTAAAATAATTGAAATATAATCTTGTTTTGAGCACTTGTTAGCTTGTTCTCTATCCATGTACTGCATCCGCCATCTTGTAAATGCGAAGCTTGGTAACCTCACATTCAAGGTGTTGCAAAAGGTCAGGAATTCTTTTCCAGGTCTCTCTTGAAAAATGGTGACCGGCTCAATGAAAATCTTAGCCAGGAGACTATTTTCTTAGCTACAACCCTGCCACTGACTGTAAGATGGGAATCATACCAACTTTGTGATGTTCCAGGAAGTAGCGTGACACCACCCACAGAGGGTTTGTTTGATTTGATCTCATACCCCCAGAATTTCCATTGCCCTTTGTTGGAGCAGGTGCGGATATTTCCTGGAACCACATATTAAAAAATGTAAACTCTATTAACAGAACTGTAACAGCTCTCATACTGTAAGCTTGAAATTCTGTTTGTTGTGATAGCATAGCAGCAGTTGCTGTTTTGGGGCTAGGGGCAGTGGTTCTGGTTTTTTGCTCCAATACTGGGTATTGAGTCATTTACGAGTGTTGCTACCCAACCATTAATACTATGCATATTGTGGATTTTACATAGTTCTCTCCTTTAAGATATGTATTTCTAGAATTCAAGATTGATGGGATAAATGAGGTGACTCAAGTAAGTTTGATGAGAAGGAGTTGTAGACAAGGAGAGAGTAGCCTCTAGTCGGTATAATATTTATCCCTCATCCAATTATCCTGTGCTTCTCCTGTTTTGAGAGACACATTGGGAACTAGATAGATACATATTAGCACTGATGACCTAGGCATTGAATACAATTACAGGGGCGTAGTCAGGATTTTTCAAAGAGGGGGGTGGGTCACACTTTGGCAGAGTGAGGGTACTCACCAGATTGTCATGTCACTTTTTTCCACCTGTTGTAGGTTGTTTGCTTAGAAAAGGCTTGCAAAAGGGGGGTCACAGGCACCCCCAGGACCCCCTAGCTACCCTGTGACATTATGCTGTTGGTGATTGCGTTACAAATTTAGCCGTTTATAAGACAATTGCTCCAAGTGCTACGTGTAGAAAACAGTTAATTAAATATGGCTTACCATATGTTTGCATTGCGTTATTTTGATGTCTCTGAGTTCCTGGAGGCGGTTTAGAGCCATTTAGGTGAGTTTTAGAGACAGACCATTAGAAAAGTGATGGGGGTGGGACTTTTTTTTACATCCACTGCCTCTGCAGAATTTTTTTTTGGGGGGGGGGG